TTCCAGAACATTTCGCATTTCTCTAAGTGTGTCCCTTGTTTCCTGAAGTTGCAATTGTTTTTTGTCTATGCTCTCTGTTTCACTGAAGATTTCTCCCCTCATTTCTTGTATCATTTTCTTGATTTCCTTAAATTGGACTTCACCTTTCTCTGGTGCCTCCTTGATTAGCTTAAGAATTGACCTTCTGAATTCTTTTTCAAGTAAGTCAGGGATTTCTTCTTGGTTTGGACCCGTTGCTGGTGAGCTGGTGTGATTTTTTGGGGATGTTAAAAACCCTTATTTTGTCATATTACCAGAATTGGTTTTCTGGCTCCTTCTCATTTGGGTAGGCTATGTCAGAGGGAAGCTCTGGGACTCAAGGTTGCTATTCAGATCCTTTTGTCCCACGGGGTGTTCCCCTGATGTAGTTCTCTCCCCCTTTTGTGAGACTGGTATAAAAATAGTCATATAGACCAATGGAACAGAATGGAGAACCCAGAAATAAACCCAACTGTTTACAGCCAACCGATCTTCAACAAAACAAACAAAAACATAAAGTGGGGAAATGACACCCTAGTCAACAAATGGTGCTGGGATAATTGAAAAGCCACAGGTAGGAGAATGAAACTGAATCCTCATCTCTCACCTTATATAAAAATCAGCTCAAGATGGATCAAGGACTTAAATCTAAGACCTGAAACTATAAAAATTCTAGAATATAACATCAGAAAAACCCTTCTAGACATTGGCTTATGCAAAGATTTCATGACCAAGAACCCAAAAACAAATGCAACAAATACAAAGATAAATAGGTGGGACTTAAACTAAAGAACTTTTGCACAGCAAAATAAACAGTCAGCAGAGCAAACAGACAACCCACAGAGTGGGAGAAAATCTTCACAAACTGTGCATCTGACAAAAGACTAATATCCAGAATCCATAAGGAACTCAAACAAATTACCAAGAAAACAAACAAACAAATAATCCCATCAAAAAGTGGGCTAAGGTTATGAATAGACAGTTCTCAAAAGAAGATATACAAATGTCCAACAAACAAGGAAAAATGTTCAACATCACCGATGATCAGGGAAATACAAATCAAAACTGCAATGCAACACCACGTTACTCCTGCAAGGGTGGCCATAATCAAAAAATCAAAAAATGATGGATGTTGGCATGGATGTGGTGAAAAGGGAATGCTTCTACACTGCTGGTGGGAATGTAAACCAGTACAGCCACTGTGGAAAACAGTGTGGAGATTCCTTAAAGAACTAAACGTAGAACTACCATTTGATCCATCAATCCCACTACTGGATATCTACCCAGAGGAAAAGAACTCATTATTCGAAAAAGATACTTGCACACACATGTTTATAGCAGCACTATTCACAATTGCAAAAATGTGGAACCAGCCCAAATGCCTATCAATGAACAAGTGGATAAAGAAACTATGATATCGATATATCATATATATAGAGAGACATATATCATATATAGAGAGATATAGACATATATCATATATATGGCATACATATGTATGATGGAATACTACTCAGCCATAAAAGGAATGAATTAATGGCATTCACAGCAACCTGGATGGGATTGGAGACTATTATTCTAAGTGAAGTAACTCAGGAATGGAAAACCAAACATCCTATGTTCTCACTTACAAATGGGAGCTAAGCTATGAGGATGCAAAGGCATAAGAATGATAAAATGGGCTTTGGGGACTCGAGGGGAAAGGGAAGGAAGGGGGTGAGGAATGAAAGACTACAAATTGGGTTCAGTGTATATTTATCTGGTGATGGGTGCACCAAAATCCCACAAATCACCACTAAAGAACTCAGCAATAGACCTGGTACCCACCTTGCACTACTCACAGGGAAGGGGAAAATGCCAGCACTCAGTCAGGGTAACTCAGGGTTTCCTCCTTTAGATGGGACAAGTGGGCTCCTCCCCGCTCCTCCTCCTGCTGGACCTGGCTGCCTACTTGGGCCTGACTGTCTGCTCCTTCTAGAACCACCAGGTGCTGGGGACAGGTTTGAAAGGAGGCAGATCCGGGTTTGATTCCCAGCTGTGCTACTAATTAACTGCGTGGCATTTCCTGCATTGAGTCCAATGTCTAAAGTGAGGGAACACGCACATTGTGCAGTGCTGTGAGGTTTAAAGTTGTGTCTGTAGCTCCAGTGGCTGCTTACCTGAGCACTTCCCAGGGTGTGTGATGATGACTGGTTTTCATGGATATCTGACCAGATAAAACTGGGGCTTCGGGATGACAGGGAACCACCCACTCCCTGTATCAAGCCCAGGACTGAGTATGAAATATGTCTGCAATAAAGACTGAAGAAGCTGAGAACAGCTCTTGTACTTGGGCCAGGACTGTGACTCATTCATCCATTTATTCAGCATTGTTTCTGAGCCAGGTCCCATGCCAGGACCTTAGGGTAGTGTCGGGGAACAAGCCCAGTTCCTGTGCTCCAGGGGCTCCTATCGGGGGTGCGCATGGAGCTGACGTTCTGCTTTCTCTCTCCATACAGGTGTGTGGAACTGCTGACTCAGGATGTCGGGGTTCAGGCTGGTAAGAATTCTATGATTTGATCTAGGGGTTATTGGTGTAAGTTACTCAAGGCCAAGTTG